CCCCCCCCCCCAAATTCACCGACTACTCTTTCCCTCATCGAAGTAGTTGAGAGGGGAAAAAAACCAATTGAAAAGCAATTAAAACAGGAAAAATACACCAGAATTAGGAAATGAACGCTATGGTAAACAGCACAGCTTAAAATTCCAACGCAGATGAAATAATTAAATCTAAATGAAAATAAATGGAAAGCTATGAAATTTCAGCGTAACCATGCAATCGAAAAGTTTAAAATGAAATCATAAGTATGTGAAATGGTCAAATTTAATTATCAACTGATTTACCCACAAACCTGTCCTTGTTTTTTTTTTAAATATATATCATTAAGGGCCATATGGCTAGTGCTGTCGCCACGACAGTGCAGGTGAAGATTTTATTTTAGCCCTAAGTTTAAAAAAAAAAAAACTACCGTGGATTAGAACCCTGGTCTCCCTCTCAAAAGCCGAGTGTTCTAACGATTCGACCAAGCAACCACTCGATCGGAATAACGAAAAGAGAACATAACTATTTTAGATGTGTGTCCTTACTGCAGTGTCCCGATTATAACACAACTCAAAACAGCAGGCAATTGTTTTCTCATAGACAGATATTCCAAATATATTAATGAAACGGCACAACAAAAGAAATCGGACGTGTCTAACATGGTTAATGTCGCAGTCAATGTCTGCGCAGACGTCGAGATAGTCCCTGATGCCCCCCCCCCTCTTTTTCCCTATCAATCCATCGGCTACTTTTCAACTCATCGAAGGATGTTTGAAAAAAGAAAATAGAAATCGTGTCTAATATAGTTATTGTGGCAATCACTGCCTGCACAGATATAGATATAGTCTTGTTTGCTGTATCACGACCTACTCTATGTATTAGAGGAGGTGTTGGCTGCACGGCGCATGCGCAATTACTAACGTGGCTATAATTAGAAATCACTAAAATTATAAATATTTGTTTCGAATATTATGGCTTAAATTGTGGTCACCTATCTATAACAGTGACAGGTTGAATTTCAAACCATGATGGTTCAACATCCGGTATCAAAACAAACATATCCTGAAAATTTCAGCTAAATCGGTTCAGTTGTTTCCGAGTCTATAGGGGGCAAACAAACACACAAACATTGATTTTTTTATATATAGATATAAAACAAGAAGATAGTGCATACAGTTGCTAATAATAATAATACAGTATATAACCCTGTCAAACAAAGAAAAGCACCTACCCACAAGGATTAATAGAGACCAGGAGATAATCAGTTGCTTTCATTGGATAAACACAGAACTTCTAGGCCAGATGCATTAGAATCCTTATTCTAAATAAATGCCTCCAAGCAGAATTGTGTGTGCACTTATGTATGTTTGGCAGCATTTCTGGTGTCATTTTATTGTGATTCTCACAAGACAGCGGCAAACACTCTCTTATCAGTTACATAAATAATAAAAATAAACACTTTCAAGAAATGTCATTTAGTAATTCTTTATTTGCACATAGAAAATATACTCATTTGATGAGCATACAAACATATTTGTCCACAGAACTGATATCACCTGAACAAATGACTACAGTATAAACGTGTATAGCTTAGTGGTACTGTACACTCTAACATAAACTGTGGTATTTTATCTGTTTGCTGCACTGACTAATAACCGTGTCCAGCATCCAAATTCCCAGCCATGTTATGACCAGTATGGGTTGGAGTTAACCAAGCCTCATGAAACTGGCAGCTAAAATATTTATGTAGAAAGTAACGGCTCTGTAATTTGTCTTTACTCAAAACATTTGAGACAACATAAATATGGGCCTGAGATTATATTCCTAATATACCTTACTGGTGTGTCAAGGAAAATATAATCACATGTACATTATCAAATGTGGAGATATTATTTTAAACTATACATTAAGGTTAAATCATTAAATTGTGGTACAACATAATAATCTTCTTTACGTTTACCGGCTGTAAACTCGGGTAAAAATTTCTGGCTGTTTGTCCATTCCTGAAATTTGGTCTTGATTCAGAATTTGAGTTTTGCGTAAACATCCATTTTACACATCTGGCTTATTTATATGCAGACTGCAGGTTCCTTGCCTCTCAGGCAGATGCATTCTGTCTTTGAAGGAAGCTTCCCTAATTAGTTGCCTTTTATGACATGCTTGTTAGGGACATGGTGGGTCTATTTTTTGTTCTCTAAAATGGAGCCCCATAACCAACACAAGATTGGTATAATATTCAAGATTACAATAACAGTGAAAACATCAAATGTTGTAACATTATCTTCAAGAATACAGACACAAATGTTTTGTAACATCTATTGAACATTGTGTGAAAGAAAAAGAAACAGTGTTCTGAAACTGTAGTCAGTTAAGGCTATATGTGAAACATTCTCACTAAGGCCAATAACAGTTGGACAGTATCACATTTCTGGTGCCCATGTGTTATTTGTCATCTGGAAATTGTGACTAGACCCCTGCCTAAATGGCCTGCTCTGTTCAATATCCAACAGCTGAGACATTTCAAACATGTACACCAAACATTCAAATTCTACAAACTTATGTTCCCTTGCCTGAGAAGATTAGATGTCCTGTTTACTACTCCAGGAATTTCTTGTTCTTTACGTTCACCAACTGTCAACTCCGGCAGGAAAGTTCTGGTTGTTCATAAATTTCTTTAGTCTTGTTCCAAAACCTGAGTTTTGCATGCACACTCGTTTTACAGATCTATCTTAATTGTATGCAGACTGTTGATTCCTTGCCTCTCATGCATATGCACTCTGGCTTGGAGAGAAGCAACAATCAGTCGACTTCTAAAGACACAGTTGGTTTATTCTTGTTTCCCCTTGCAATAGGGCCCCAGAACCCATGCAGGAACTATTCCAGGATCAAAACAGAGTTTACCTTGCTTTTCTTATTCTGCAACAAATGAAAACCATTACCACCATGACAGGAACCAGTCCATATGAGCCAGGCATGGACATCACAATTTCTTAACAGTTCTGCCCACTGGTAGCAGAAGCGTTAAATATGGAAACCACAGTTCACACGTTATCTTAATGTAACATTGCTATTCCATATCTTATCCAGTCAAAGCTTTCTTTCACACATATACACCCTCACCAACCACACACACATAATAAAAATAAACAATGAAAATGTCAACCTAACTGTTACACAAATGGCAAAATAAATGGTAAGGATAGCTCAACAATTACAGTAGGTATCATACTGGACAGTTGAATGTCATCCAAATGTGTGTGACATTAAAGTGAACACATCTGCTTACAATTATACTTTTTTCTTAAATACCCTAATAAACTCTTATCCCATAAAATCATTGATTCTGACCACAGACCACACAGAAATGAATTCTTCTCAATGATAAAACAGTCAACGTACAAAACTCATGTAGTCTTGAATAAGTTCACAGTCACATTTCTCAGAACAATTATTTTATCTCTGCTACAGTAAACCACTTAAGTTAGATCATTTCCTTCAGATAATTTCCTTTCACAGATTTTGTGTCCATACCCACACAGGACTGCAGGTAGTCACCAAAGTTAAATATCTAGGTTCTATAAACAACAATGGAGACTGCACCTGGCTGATGTAGCCATTATGGGTGCCCTAATTATAACTTCACTGCAGGTTGAACGTGATATCCGGGATCTGCCTTGTTGGCCTGCTGTCCAGACAGAGATTTTCAATCCCAGGATAGTATGGTCAACCTTCTGGTAGCTTCCTGGTGGGGGAAAAACACATTCATTTCACATGTCTGTTTTGCATGACGGCCAAGGATTTGATTATTTAGACTGCTTACTGTGAAGCTTTGCTTCTCTCATTGGCTGTTTAAATATTTTACAATTTTCACTTTCTATTACTTGTTGCTTCCCTATTTCTCAGTGGAATATTGGCCATTTCTGTAATAATTATTCCTCATTGACTTTCTACAAAATTTTAATAAGGAATACCTTTGTTCCTATCTGTTGCAAACAAGATCTTTTCTTATATAAGCACAGCTCATTCAGTCAATGCCTCAGATCTCCCAAATCTGCAGCATGTTATTATTTTTGTTGTCACAGAACTAGTACCGGTCCTAGCAGCTGACAAGCAACACTAGTGATCAGCAAACAACACATTATAAGGGTAAGACTGTACGGCAAAAACCTTACACAGCGGGCAGTAAATCAAACTTCAGGGTTACATTCACCATTTTGGAACAAGGTTCAGGCAGAAATAATCAGTCCTACATAAGAATCTATTCTCCATTCATGATGATGGGGAATGTCCACCTCAATTGTCTTTCCTGTCATAGTCAACACAAAACTAGAAGACCTGCTATGAAGTCACTGGCACTTTTCATAGTATATAATGTCACTGACAAACATATAACAAGTGAACCGATCTGATGGTTCATGAAGTAGCAAGATGCTCATACAGTAAGTTCAGACTACCAAGACTGAGGCATCATGGCCATCAGTATTTCAAACTGGCTGCTTCACTGTTGGCCTGTGCTGGTTGTGTATGCGGCTCCATTATGTGCTGAGGATGCAACAGCATGAGTTCTCTCAGGGGAGACTCTAGGCAGGTAGTCAGGATATCCTGTAAACAAAAAATGAGTACACTGTCACTTCCTGTTTGTCATTTTGCACTATCAAACAACTCTACACCACATGTAAGGGGTTGGCATTTCATACCCAAATCGGAGTATTTCTAATGGGACTATATTTACCTTTTCTACAGAATAGTACTCACAGCTTTATGAATAATTATATCTATTTCTGTCATATACAATGTACTCTTCCTTCTCAAGGTTTCTGTATTCGGTAAAATGAGTATAACATCTATATAGTTTTAATTAACAGTACAGCTGCATGGCTAATTAATAAGTTCCCCTATAAATACAGGTTTTAATTAACAATATAGTTTCTACATAAATGTAGATGGTGGTTTTTTTTTTTTTCAACAACAAAAAAGAACCTCACCTGCATTACTGACTGAAGAAGACCAGAAACTGTGCTCATTCTGGGAAAACTTGATGGTCGTTCCAAACATCCTGATACAAGTCAAGTAGCTTCATGTCAGTGCAGCTCATACCGTCTGTGGAGCTCTGGAAAAAAAAAGACAGAACATTTATTTCAACTGAACAGTATTTTCAAAGGACATCAGGACAACTGGTCTTGATTTACATAACAATAATAACACTCATTGTCTGTTTCTCATTAGTGCTACAACTGTTGTTCTTCTTAGATGAGCATAGAGCGTCAGCTTTGCCTTTTTTTTTCCTGCATTTTCCAATAAGGAACAGAACATCGAGCTTTCCTGTCTTTTTTTTCATCTCCATTTATGATTAATCTCTGTCCATAATTATCTTCTCCCTTTGCCTCAAAGCCTCAATCTCATTTCTTTTGCCCTACAAATTCCAGAGAGAAAAAAAGATTTCTAGTTATACTGTTAAGTTGTCCCAATTTATAGCCTGTCAAATTCCAGCATTCTTTTATTACCTCTTAATTTGCTCCAATGTGTTTAGTTTACATCATAAACTCTAAATTACTGACTCCATCACAGCATTTAATCCTTATACTATGTCTAGATACCAGTTTATGAATGCTTATAGCTTAAAAGTGATTGTCTTAGTCATTCATTATTCTGTTCTATGCAGCAATGTTTTGTTTTACTTCCACAAATATTTCAATACTCCAACAACTCCTCTTGTTTGATGGACTCAAATATCTTTAAGCTCCTCCATCATTTGTCTACACTGTACCTAAATAACTGTTTGACTCAGTGAGATCAGAAATAATTACCTGTATTAAAAAGCACTCAAGTTCTGTATCAGCAAAGATATTTTTGGAGACAAGCTTCTTAGATCCTGCCTTTGATACTGTGTTAAGTGAAGACATTCTAGACTGTAGAACATTGACATCCAACTGAAATAGAACAGATTATGTGTGTGTTAGTGTAAGTATGGATTCAATTAGACAGGGTCATTCATTTAAAGAAAATATAATAAAATAACAACTAGCCTAATATATCTTCTTCATCAGTGGTCACTCTTAAAAGTGCAACTGGTATGTTATGTTGTAGTCTACAGCAAGGCTGTGATGTCTGCAGCTTTTGATCCAACACATTTGAGTTCAGAACAGTTATAATAAGTCCCCTGTTAAGATATGCTTGTTAAGGGAATTGATCTTCTATGTTGCCCTCAAAAGGGAAGTCTCAGAACCCACATAGAGAGCCTGGTGTATCACATCCATCTGGCTTTTTCCCCAAACATTTCCCTGTAGAATGATCTGCCTTGCGTTAAATGTTATTGATTAAAACAGAGTTAAATCAGAGATAACATGTGCCATGGTTTTCATTTATTGGCAAGTGGAAATCAGAAACATAGGCTAAAAGTGTGCACACTCCTAGCAGTCTTCAAATATTGCAAATACATAGTCACTTTTGTCTCTGCCATCTTTTCCCTAGTGCAGAATATATGGAAACCATTACAGCATGAAGCCCCCCGTGTGGGTTCTAGGGCCTCATTGTGGGGAAAACAAGAATAGACCCACTGCCTCCCCGAAAGCATGTCGTAAGAGTCGACTAATTGGGGAGCTTCCTTTGAAGTCGGAGTGCATCTGCCGGAGAGGCAAGGAACCAACAGTCTGTATTCAAGAGAATAAGATCTGTAAAACTGATGCACATGCAACACTCAGGTTCTGGAGCAGGACTGCAGTTCAGTAGTGGACGAGCAACCAGAACTTTCCGCCAGAGTGTACAGCTGGTGAACGCGAAGAAGAAGGAGAAGAGGATTACAGCATGAAGCTACATGGCAGAGGGAAAGGTAAAGAAACACTTCACATGAGGTTTTCTAATCTTACATTCATTCATGCATTTGTTGTCTCATTATATATCACACAGGGATCGCAGTCTTTTCCTCCACTCTGCTCTATCATGTGCAGTCAGTTCAGTACCATGGATGGAATCCAGTCTTGCACCTTTGGCCTCTCTTATCAATGTTCATTGCAGGGTTTCTTTTGTGTCTCTTCACCTCCTCAACCTTTTTATCTCCCATTTCAGTACACTTTGGTGATTTTTGGCTTATTTCTTGTGCCCAAAATATAGCACCATCTTCTGTGTCTTACAACTGTTGTTACCAGTGGTTGCCCAGCCATTTCTCTTCTAACACTGGCAAGCATTAATTAAACGATGTCTCTCTAAACATGACTGTAATCAATAAACAAACATCTGTACATACCTTCAAGATGAGGATATCGTATTCCAAGCAGATCGATTCGATGAGAAGTGCCTGAATGTTTCTATTGACATCATTGCTTGATGAGCTGACAGGCAGTATACAAGCCACAACATCATTTGGACTGCTGTGGAAATGATCATTTCAAGGTTATTGCATCTCATAGCTGAACAGATTGTGAAAACAATATTTATTATAAGTATCAAGTAAGCTGGCTCGAACTGCTGCTGCAGCTAAGGAGGGCAATGACAGATCTCGGGTAGGCTTATCTCAGTTTTTATGGATTTTTATCTATTTAATTTTATCGCTGCTAGTATGTTTATAACTGTCTTGATGTTCTGATATTCCTAATTGAACATATACAGAGCTAATGATTTTGCATCCAATGTCAGTGTAACACTCAGGTCATACTCATGTATGCAACACTCAGGTCATACTCATGTATGCAACACTCAGGTCATACTCATGTATGCAACACTCAGGTCATACTCATGTATGTAACACTCAAGTCATACTCATGTATGCAACACTCAAGTCATACTCATGTATGCAACACTCAAGTCATACTCATGTATGCAACACTCAAGTCATACTCATGTATGCAACACTCAAGTCATACTCATGTATGCAACACTCAGTTCATACTCATGTATGCAACACTCAAGTCATCCTTATGTATGCAACACTCAGGTCATATGTATGCAACACTCAGGTCATACTCATGTATGCAACACTCAGGTCATACTCATGTATGCAACACTCAGGTCATACTCATGTATGCAACACTCAGGTCATACTCACCTATGCAACACTCAGGTCATACTCATGTATGCAACACTCAGGTCATACTCATGTATGCAACACTCAGGTCATACTCATGTATGCAACACTCAGGTCATACTCATGTATGCAACACTCAAGTCATACTCATGTATGCAACACTCAAGTCATACTCATGTATGCAACACTCAAGTCATACTCTGACTTGCTCAAAGTGTTTCTTCTTGTTCTTCTTCTTCTGTTTTCAGTGCTCAAAGTATCTGCATACTAATAGTTTCAGTGACCAGCTGATAAGTTGTAAATAAGGAAACAGTTTTCAATATAAACATGTAAACATAAATACAAACATAATCATAGTATGCTCAACCTACCTTCGCAGGGCAGTGACACAGTCATTTAAACCATAAGTTAAACGTCCTTCCCTTGAAGCAACAGAGATGGCGGAAGTCACCACATCACACGTGGTCATGTCTGGAGATCTGCAAGTAAAAAACACAATTGTAATGGCAACCCACAGACACATTCTCTTTCCACTCTATTATCTAAAGTGTTTTTTTCATATTTATACCTTCGTCACTTCCTCGTGCAAGTTCCACGGCCATATTGGGGGGGGGGGAGGGGAGGGACAGACCTACTGCTCTCCATACACACATGTCGTAAGAGGCGACTAATTCCGGGTGTTTCCTTCCAAGTCAGAGTGCATCTATGAGAGGTGAGGAACCAACAGTCTGCATAAGAAAGCTGGATCTGTTAAATGGATCTGCATACATGTAAGCTAGATCATCTGTTAAACAAATCCGCAGACAAAACTCGAGTTCTGGAACATGACCACATGATCCAGAAGCCACACGGGGATTAGAATCAGTTAAGATTACACCTGTGTGCGAATCCCTTATGTGTACACATGATCCAGAAGCCACATGGGGATTAGAATGAGTTAAGATTACACCTGTGTGCGAATCCCTAATGTGTACACATGATCCAGAAGCCACACGGGGATTAGAATGAGTTAAGATTACACCTGTGTGCGAATCCCTAATGTGTACACATGATCCAGAAGCCACACGGGGATTAGAATGAGTTAAGATTACACCTGTGTGCGAATCCCTAATATGTACACATGATCCAGAAGCCACACGGGGATTAGAATGAGTTAAGATTACACCTGTGTGCGAATCCCTAATGTGTACACATGATCCAGAAGCCACACGGGGATTAGAATGAGTTAAGATTACACCTGTGTGCGAATCCCTAATGTGTACACATGACCCAGAAGCCACACGGGGATTAGAATGAGTTAAGATTACACCTGTGTGCGAATCCCTAATGTGTACACATGATCCAGAAGCCACACGGGGATTAGAATGAGTTAAGATTACACCTGTGTGCGAATCCCTAATGTGTACACATGATCCAGAAGCCACATGGGGATTAGAATGAGTTAAGATTACACCTGTGTGCGAATCCCTAATGTGTACCCTATCCGAAAATGTGTACCAGAAAACGGTTGCGAAGTAGAGGCGACAGCTGTGATACTGACCACATCACAGTCTGAGGAACTTAATCTGTGAAAATTGTTGTTTAGCACCATATACCCTGTTCGTGCGAATGTATTGTAACAGATCCTTGACTTCTGGCTTAAGTTATTGTTCGAAATGCGGACGTGATAGTAATGAAGTTCTTTAATGTTAAAGTGTGTGCACTTCTGTCCCGTACAGTGTTGGCGGCAATGGTTGTTGCAGACATATCACAAATTATTATAAGTTTTCTGATAAAAGTCAGGCAATGAAATCTTATTTTTTACTCACTTTTGCATCAATGCAGTCGTGTCCATCGATGCTGTCTGGAGAACTCCGCTGACGATCATATTGCTTCTAGAGTTGTGCAGTCTCGTGCTTGCAACTGTACCTTGAAACAAAAACTATAAACGCCCACTGGTACTGTGGCTTGCCTCTACGTCCTTTTCTTTCGAAGTTGAAGAACTTGTTTGAAACGTGTCAACTGCTTTATAGTTTTGAGCTGCAGCAGTATTCACTTTCTGTGCATCAATGCCAGCAAAGTCGCCTGCAAGCTGATGTAAGCCTTATATCAGAAAGACGTTCCGCTGACCAACTCCTTTTTCCTCACACTCTGATTAAGTAACGTCGGCAAACTCGAACGTCAGTTTTATACCAGGTCAAAATTGTCTCGGCTGCCATTGGTTGGGGGAGGCCGGTATCTGCGATAAGCTGGATCGTTAAGTTTCCACGAACGCGCTGTTCCTTGTTGATGACGTTGCCGTGACATAAGCGCCCGCGTGGTTAGCCCACATTAAACAAGAGAGTCACGAACTGCATGTTCAGGGATCTTCCCCACCCCAACAGGGTGTTACATTTTGCTGCTAGCGTGAACAGACAAGTTAAACAAGAGCGTTAACTAAGGCGGGATACTAGCTGTAGTAATAAGGAAACTCTAATTTCCCCGCCCTAGCCTATTCATTACCACACAGTGACTGCCAAAAAAAGAAAATTAGAACCCAAACTTAAACAAATGGGCGGAAATAGCAACATTCTTTGGGAATCTCATATGTGGGTAAGCCTGTTTAAAAAGCACAGAGCGACAACCCACCAACCCCCGGGTTTCCGTCAAAATGCAAATGCATTAGCAGTTAAAACTCCTTTCTTTTCGTTTGTAGAGGCGGCTTACGTGTGCAAGCCAGTCTCTTGTTTTGTTTGGCTCACTATTCTTCTAGGTGACGTGCCTAAATTGCCTTCCACCAAGAATTTCGGTATTGTTTTTGTTTTCAAAACGTACACGGTTTGCAGTGTAAAGAGTTCCATAATTATGCAGACACACAAGTAGACCAAATCGGTTCTATCGTTGCAGAAACTTCCATGCACGTGCAATAATACTTGTTGTATCTTCTTGTTTCACCGCACTGATACCAGGTTTGTAGCCCAGTGTCGTGGTTTTATGTTCATGTCTTGCACTTCTTGGGTGGCGAAGGTGATGGATGGTTTCAGCGACACCATTTATCCATCTATTTATTCGTCTTCCCTTCGCTTTCTTCCCATAAATTCTACTGTAAAAACATACAATTTGCAGTTTTGTCTGGCTGCATTCTCATTAGATAACCTAGCCGTTTTATTCTTTGGTGCATGTGAGACTAACGACGTAATGTAATCTTACACACTTCCCTCTGTGCATGTGCCACTAACGACGTAATGTAATCTTACATCCTTTAATCAACTTTTTAATCAGCAAATCAAAGCATAGGTTGCCTTACACGCATCTAACAATTCAACTGTAATCTTACACACTTCTGTCGGTGCATGTGAGTCTATCCATATAGGTATATTACATACTTGTGTAAGTGCACAAGAACTCCGCTAAGACCGGTCCCAAGCCCGGCTGTAAAAGGAAGAGGGTCTGGCTGAACCTGAGTGCTTCATGCGTCTCCGGAAGTAGTGGGTAACCGTGAATCAGCCAGACGGCCTGCATGGCGGCCGCAAGGAGGCAGCCCCTCCACCATGCAAAGGCACAACAGGCCAATCACCTGTTTGCCTTAAAATATTATTACAAGTAACTACAGAGAGAAAACCGGACTGATCTTAACGGCGACGAACTGGCATGGCTTACGGACTACGATTTATGGAACATGGAACATAAGAGGCATTAACGGGAAGGAAAAGGAGTTAGTAGGGCAGATGAGGAAAGTGAAATTAGGAGTCTTGGCTCTGACTGAAACCAAGAAAAAGGGGCAAGGAATCACAGATCACGATGGAAGTATGCTGCTCTACAGTGGTGTCCCTATGACGGAGAGAGCTAAGGGAGGTGTTGGCTGTATTGTGGCCAGGAACCAAGTTAGTAACATCAAGGGATGGAAATTCATCTCGTAGCGAATTATGGTGTTAGATCTTAAAGAAGAAGATAAAATTATCAATATTGTTATTGTGTACGGGCCAAATGAAGATGAGCGAGTTGATGTTAAAGAAGAATTCTTTGAACTGCTCCAAAGGACCATAGATGACTGTCACGATGAAATTATCCTCCTAGGAGATTTAAATGCCAGAGTAGGAAATGATCACTCTAGATGGGGTGGAGTGATCGGGAGATATGGTGAAGATGTTTTGAATGATAATGGCAAGCGACTTCTCAGATTCTGCAGGGGACAGAACCTTGTCATTACAAACACAAAATTCCCCCACAAGCGCACACATGCATACACAAGATGTGAACCTTCAAAGAATGAAAAATCCATTATTGACTATGCCATAGTTGGGAAAAGTTCATTCAAGTTTGTTAGAGATGTCAGAGTCATGAGAGGACCAGAGATTGGAAGTGACAACTATCTGGTCACAATAAAGAGAACCTGAAAGAACTGCTCCAACAAGGCAACACCGACAACCGTGCAAGAAACCAAGCAACCAAGAAGGGATGAGGATTAAGGCATACAGGCTAAGAGAGCCAGATATTAGGGCTAGATACCAGGGGCTTATAGTGAAAGCAATAGGAACTGAAGAAGAACCATCAGAGGACACTGAAACCCTCTGGTGCAGATTCAAGAATATCCTCACAGCAGCTGCAGTAGAAGCATGTGGTGACGTCCCAAGTGGAAGGCGGGGACATAGGACACCTTGGTGGACAGAAGAGGTCAAACTGAAAATAGGAGAAAAGAAAAGGGTATGGAAACAATACCTGGCAGCCAGGAACACAGCTGAAGAAATAGAGAAATATAAACAATATGTGGCACTCAGAACGGAGACCAAAAATATTGTGCAAGCAAAACAGAAATCATGGAAATAGTTTGGAGAAAAGTTGGAAAAGAATGCAAGAGAAAATTAAAAACTGTTTTACAAGACCCTCAAGAACATGAGGAAGGAGAAAGAGTGCCCACTGAAATTCATAAAAGACAAGGAAGGAGCTCTGCTTACTTCTACAGATAATATCATGGGCAGATGGAAAAAATACTTCTCAGAGCTCCTTGGCGTTGAGGGAAGTCATGACCCAGAAATAATGGACCTCACTGCTGAGAAGGAAATCATCCATGAGGATGATAACATCAGGATGGTAGAGTTGAAGGCAGCTATTGAGAAGATTAAGCTGGAAAAAGCAGCAGGTCATGATGGTATAACACCAGAGATGGTCAAATATATGGGTGTCGCAGGTGAGCGCCTTCTACTGAAGGTTCTGCAGGCAGGTAGTAAAACTATACCAAAAGATTGGGAGATTGCCATCATTATACCTATATTTAAAAAAGGTGATAACAGACCATGTGAAAACCACAGAGGCATATCCCTCCTCAGCGTTCCAGGTAAAAGTTACTCTAGAATTCTCGAGCAGAGACTTAGAAGTCTGATAGAGCCAAAGCTGGACGAAGCCCAATGCGGCTTCAGAGCAAACCGACGTACTCAAGACCTTATCTTCACACTGAGACAGATGAGTGAAAAAACCCTTAAATAAAGAGTAAAATGCACCTATGTTTTTTGGATCTGGAAAAGGCATTTGGCAAAGTACCCTGGAACAAGCTCTGGGGCTGCTTGGCGGGGAAAAACATTCCAGCAACCCTGATCAGTGCAATACAGAGTTTCTACAAAAGCTGCAGAAATTATGACCAAAAGTCAGAAGAATTTAAGACCACCAGCGGTGTTAGACAAGGTGATTTTCTCTCACCTTACCTCTTCATTCATATGATGGATGATGTCATCAAGACCTGTAAGGAGAAGACAAAGATGTACTCTGTAGGGTACTGGAAGATGAGACCTATCTGTATATCAGAGCTGGCATTTGCAGACGATGTGGCCCTGATAGCTAAATCATTCTTCTTTGGCTACCTCTATTCTATAGTGTTCATGTGTGACGACACCTCTTTTGACCTGACGTTCTTGTAGTATTTTGAGTGTTGTCGATTCACCGTCGCTTCCTGAATATCCCTCTCGTCATGCCTCCTTGAGATCATTGACAATGTCATCCGTTGCTTTTCCTGTACCTACCCTGGCCCTGCCGGCAAGCCAATCCGCTCGTTCAATCCCTCTTACCCCTGAATGTCCTGGCACAAAAACTGAAACTAATTCCTATCAGACGAGATTTCTTCAGGTCTCCAACCATTTTCTTTGAATCTCCTCTGTCTCTATCTTTTTAAGCATGCTCATGGAATAACTTACACGGCAGGCATGGGAAAATGCAGTGTCTCTAGTCACATCATTGCTTTTGTTACCGCCATCACCTCCATAGTCAGACTACTTGTAGTCGAGGCATGGGCCCCGCTATCTTTTTCTAACGTTTTTCCTTCGAGTTGAGCTGCGTTGAGTTGAGTCAAGAACTGGCATCACAGCAATCGGGGCATTCCCATGCGCGTTCCGTCCTCATCTTCAGCAGCCAAAGAGTTCCAATAGTAATTTCTTCTTCTTCTTCTTCTTGTAATCTGGTTATATGTCCGTCTTGCTTATATGTCCGTCTTGCCTTTTCTCTGAGTGTAATGGGCCGACCTGATACTCTGGTTACACACTGGTGCATCATTCTCTTCAGGCCATAATAATCTTGTTTCTCTTATGACTTCGTTACTTATTCCCAAAAGGCCTTGAACATATCTGCCTTGTCATGTATCAACTCACCACCCAGTGGTGCAGATCCAGCCAATCTGTCTACCTGCTCATCCCCATCATGCCGCCGTGGCCTGGAGCAAAGATCTAAAGTACGCTGACTACCCGTGACCTTCCCAGTGAAGCTTGCCACTCTGCTCGAAGCATTCCTGTCTTCACCTGTCTCAGCATGCTTCCAGAGTCTGCTACAGTTACGATATGTGTATGCATCTTGTTCTAAAACCACCGCAAAGCTGCAATGACCGCTTTCACCTCCATTCTCATGCTAAATGTTGTGGCATCGATG